AGCACATGCTTATATTCTCATGTCAGCTGGGACCTCGCATGGGGAGCTCCAAGCCAGCAAACTGAGAGCCTTAATGGACTTGAATGTATTGCTGAGCTGGGGCTAGACAGTCTCTCATCAGCCTGTTTTTGCTTGCGCTTCCCATGTGCCTTGCAAGCAGATGTGATGGAAGATGATGTAGATTTGAACCCAGGTCCCCTCCTCCCTTTCCAGACCTCCACATTTTTAGGGGTTTTCCAGTGCTAACAGCAATAAGCACCCTCTTCCAGCAAAATAAGGTGCTGTGCATCAGTTTTTGGAAAGCTGCTAGGGCTGGAATGGCTTTGCTTACTATCCTGCACTGCACTTGATTCGTGTGCCTGGTTTCCTCTAAAAATATCCCGCGCTTAGTGGGTTTGGCGGTTTCTATTAGAAACACTCCCCCTCTCTTTTAACCAAGCTAAATAAGCCAGGTTGCGTAGTGCGAGATGGTGGGGTGTATTCACTGGAGCACGGCGACACAGTTCACATGTTCATGTTTCTAAAATCCGTGTTTCTAACCCTTTTCTCCTACCAGCTCCCTCGCTTTTGTACTGAGTTCAGCCAGTGCCGAAGCCACTGAAAAGCGCGTTAGATTTGCGTAGGAAGGATGGAATAAAAATTCAGTTTCCTACAAGCTTAGCCAAAGCCTTAACCTAACGTGCGTCTTTGTGATTGTTTGAATCCTAAGCTCTGGGACGGGTGCGTGGGTGGGTGGGTGTGTTTTTGGGGGGAATCCAAAAGACACTTTTTTTTTTAATTCTTTGCTTGAAACCAATTTTTTTTTTTTGCATGAAATCAAATTCCAGCGCTGAAAACAGATGGGCTTTAAAAATGTACAGATTACAAAGCTGTCTGTGAGGATCAGGTAGAGAGACTGCTGAGAGAGGGAGAAAATCAAGCTCTTAAATGTCTCGCTGATTCATTTCAGGGTGTCAACGGACCTCCCACCACGGCCTTGGCGGTGAGCTACGATGCAGGAGCGGTGAAAGAGAAGTACGACCGCGAGCCGACTCCTCGCCGGGACTATGAGAACGAGCTGTCCATCCGGATAGGTAGAACTGGGCTTCATTCAGGCAAGCATCCTGCCATATACCAGCAGCTGACTTAGACAAATTGTATTCAAATGGCGCACGGATCATAATGAACTCACTTGCAGTTTTAATCCCTGTCTGCGCACACCCTTTCCCCCCCCGCCTCTCTTTCACTGTCGTGCTGGGGTTTGGCATCTAGCCCAAGAGTTATTGCTTCTGTTTCTCCTTCCGTTCTCAAAACAACTTGCCTGGCTGTTGCTGGGGGCGTGAGTTATTAATTATTAATGATTAGACATTTCATTCACCGGTGAAAATGGAATGAACTTAACCCTGCGGCAAAGCTCCTTCTCGGCTGGGAGGGAGTGGGTGCTGGGGTCGCTCCTCCCTCTCGCCACGGTGAAGCGTGAGCGTCCCGTTATCGTCCTGGCCGTGATTAGAGATCACATTTGTGATCCTTTATTTTGGGCCATAATAGCACTTGGAGCTGCTAAGGCCTGGACTGAAATATCCTGCTTGGGTTTATCTGCTTCTTTTTAACAGCTTTTAAAAGGCTCGCAGGAACTTTTTGTAAAGCCTGTTGAAGCTTCCCGGTTTTAGGGTTTGAGGGGGCCCCGTAACCGAAGCATAGTGGTGCCGTCATATGAGGTGTAGGACTTGGAAGAACTTGATTCTTCTAAGAGGATTCACAAAGGGTGACTTGGTGAATGGCTAGTGAATAATGGTTTCATTCGTCTTCCAGTTAAGGCGACCAGGAATGCATCTGGAATGATAAACCCCAGCCTGCCCCATGAAAGGGTATGAGAGTGATTAGGTGAGAAAGTGGTCCGTTCTTTGCACAGAGAATAGCATCAGCCTCTTGAATTGGGCTATGTTCTCGTGTGCAATTGCATTTTTCCTAATACACGGTTTGACCCCAGAGTGTTTTTAACTCTTTTTAAAGTGTCAAGCTGGGGTTTTTAAAAGAGCCAAAGGGATTCAGGTGCCCAGAGCCCATGAATCTCACGGTGCCTAATGTCTCTAGGCTTCTTTAACAGGGCCAGTCTTGATCTCTAGTTTTAACCCCTTGCTCGGTAATGCAGTCTCTGCTTGTTTAGGCATTGAACCTGGGAGCTGTTTTATATCCTGGTCACAGCCAAATTTTGCAGTCTTAAAACAACAGGCATTTTTCATTAAATCGACTGCTCAGTTTGTTGCGTGCATCTGCTCTTGGCTGTAAACAAGAACCATGCAAGTGGTTTTGAGAACGGAAACTTTCCATTCTGCTCTTTTAGTTTTTCTCCCTGGGGAAATTTCTACAAAGGACTATGGCAAATGAAAACCTTTTTCTTGTCTTTGGGGATATTTTTCTTTTTTTTTTCCCCCTTGCTGGGATGAACTCAGTATTTTCACAAGATGCAGTGTGGTTGCCAAAATGACTGATCACAAACGGAGATGGAGAGTACCATATTAATTAGCAGCTTTTCCCAAATGCATTCAGGGTTTATTAGCTGTGTTCGTGTGAAAATCCCGGGAGCACATAATGGGTATTTCCAAAATCTAAAGGGTACTTCTTGCTCTTCTGAATTTCAGTATTGCTTGCTGTTAAATCGTTGTCCCTCACTTAAATTTAAAGTAAAAAAAAAAAAAAATCCCCTTTAAAGGGACAAGTTTTGAAATGCACCAAAACAAAGAACTGAGAAATAAGCTTCTTGCCTTCGGAAATGGACTTGAAGGTGTAAGGCAGCAGCATTCATTGGAGGAGCGGGATTGTGATATTGAGTTGACCGAAAAAATAGGCGCTTGTCAATCTTTCCAGTCCTTCATGGCCCCTGTTCTGCAAAGACTTCAGCATGTGCTTGCCATCACTGCAAGATCGTGCCCCAAGTCTCTGGGTATTTGCACCTGGCTGATGGGAATATTGTCACTGCCCTCGTGAGCGATTGCATTGGAGGATTTACATCAAACCTTCACAAAAGGAGACTGGAAACCCAGGCTGCAGCTTGACCCGTTGCTAGAATAGGAGTTTGCACCCTGCTACACTTAGGCAGCTTTTGGACATTTGTTTTATTTCCCTTCTTGTGTTGTCTTGGCTCCTTTCATGGCCCTGGGTTTCCATGCTGTTCTCTCTGGCTGCAAATGGCTGGATGAGTGAGGGGCGTTCTGGACTGACCACTAGGAAACCCCATAGAAATGGTGAGGACCGGGTTTCTTTCCTCCCTACCTGATGCGTTGCATATCACCTTCCTCCTCCAGCTGTCACTGCCCTTTGCCTCCACTCCTGGGTGTTAGCTGAAGCAACTCTGCAAACCGGCTTTAAAAGCAGCCACGTCTGGGAGCAGAGCGGTGTCTCTATGTCAGAGCAGTTCCAGGAGACTTTATGGCTGCTTTTAAAATGTGCCTCCTTCTTTCCATCTATGCAGCGTGTTAAGCAGACACATTCAAAGCAAACTGCAATGATGCGTGTCTGTCTAGACTGGGGGACTGCATGTGTGCTGGGAGCTATGTGCACCGCGTTCATAACTGCCAGCCAACTATTACTGTCCAGGCCATCTCCATCTGGGCCTGCTGTAATTGCCCCCGCCTTACCCCCAGGCATGTAGCAACTGCCCACATTTGCATTTCATCTGCCTTTGCAGGCATGCAATGCTCTCCCCAAAAGGGTGCAATTCATTGCTCGCCCAGTGACTTCGCATCACTTCCATCTTGCTTGAGCCCTCTGCATTTCACTCATAGCGATTCTTCTTTGGCCAGGAGCAGGGACAGGTCCTGGCAAGTATACACTGAAACCCATTGAGTCATCCCTGAGCCGGTTCAGCTCCCCTTTCTGCTGCTCGTTGGCTGCTGTAATCTCCACTGGCCAGGCTTGCTGCTTCAGACCATGCAACAGAGGAGTCTGGGGAAAATCCTGGCCTTGGTTTATTAGCCTGATACTTGGTACGTGAACCCTCTCTTAGAGTTGGTTGCTGGAGACAGCTTTCTGTTCCCGGTACCCAGCAGGGAGGTCCCCGTCCCGGTCTGAAATCATGAGAGCATAAAGTAGCCATCGGAGCATCCTGGGCAGTATCGATGCCTGTGTTCCTGGTGAACATTGAATAATGAACTTGAGTTCACAATGTTTTGTTTGATTTTAATTTTCCCTTTGGTCTCTCTCGGGCATTTGGATTCAGCCCAGGTCTCCTTGCTTCCTATTCAGAGCAGGGGCCAGGGCCCGATGGCTTCAGAGATCACATTTTGCAAACTCCCAGCCTCTGACTACGTTCACCCCAGTGCCCCATTATGCTGGTCCTGAAACCGCCTGTCTCCAGCTTTTCCCACTGGCCCAATTCATCTATGGTCATTTTTTTTTCTTTCCAGCATCTCTGCTTTTTGGAACAAGCTTTCCTTCATCTTGGTTTTTGCCTTCAAAGCAACTTGATTATTTTTTTCCTGAGCTGTCAGACTCCTTTAGGTTTTAATGCCGGTTATAAAATTTTATGACATCCCAGATGGTTGCAGTGAGTACTTTTAGACCACAATAAAACTGCTAGGATATCTTCCAATTGCAGACGCTGTTCAGGTATGATCCTGCCTTGCTTTCCTGACCTTTTTTCTCGTATACGAAGATCCAAGGCAGTGCTTGGGTACGGCGTCTCCTATATTTTGCTGGCCCTGGGAACAGCGAGGCAGACTATACTGATTATTCATGTTAGGCACTCAAGTCCCTTCAGCCTGCGGTGTTGGATAAGGACATATAGGATATGCCCCATTGATTTGTAAATCCACCCAGGAAATGCCCTTCAATTTGGGGGTCTCTGCAATGCCGGCCAAGCTTCTTGACATTGGGCCTGGGGAGCATCCCTTGCATTGACTCTGCATTTTCTGGATATCCACATGTGTGGAGACTGGATGTTGGTTCCTTTAAATCCATGACAGCTTTGGTCTGACTTGGGTTTCCACGAGGGCTTGTAGGTAATTGCGTCTGAAACCCAGAGCTGTGAATCACAGTTATAGAAACTATATATTTAACAAGTTCCCTGCAGCTTTCCAGTGCTGAACGATTCATGTTGTTCTAATTGAGGCCGTGAGAGGAGGTAGGAGCATGAGACATCTCAAGCCAGGCCCTTCTCCCCTCTCTTTAATTATCCCTGCTGCAATCTTGGAGATTAGACTGTTCCCAGTGTTAAATGAAATGTTTTCTGGCAGTGCCTAGCCAAAGGGTCCTTCCGCCAAAGTGCCCGAGGTTCCCGAAATGTCAGGCATCAAAAGCAATGTCAGCACTTGGAGCTTCAGGTCTTCTGCCGCCTCCAAAGGCAGCCGTCAGCTCCGGGGAGTGTGGATCGGCACGGCCCGGGCTGCGTCCTCGACTTGATGAATTCAGAGCTGCTGATGCAGGCTGAACTGGCTGCTAGAGTTGGAGCCCCCTTCCCATACCCGCGTCGTCACAGACGACTCCTCTAGGACCTCACCAAGCTAGGACAGTGGACAAGCAGCTAAGTCACGACCTGGAAACGTGATGCAGCTGCCAGCGGGATGCACCAGGACGATGATTCCTTGTTCTCAGCCCTCGGGTGGCCTGAAATGCAACACGGCGAGTCCTGCGGGACCAGCCGGGGAAAGTGGTTCCCTTCATTCCCCCTCCCCAGGCAACGTGGCCCCCAGGCCCAACCTGCACGGCGGGCTGCTCTCCTCGCGAGGCACGCGCGACTATTGAGTCAGTGACCGTAAGGGGAGCGAGAATTAATATTAATTGCTCCGTTTATTCTTCTCGAAGTTGAGTTGGGAAGCATCCACGGTGACGTTCCTGCTTAGACCCCAAATAACGAGATTCACGTGGGGACAGTAATTGGGGAATATCCCAGCGTGCCGGCATAGTGCGTTGGAGAGGCAGTTTCATTAAACGGTATTAATGAAGCGCAGGCCTTGAGGGCTGCAGGAGCAAATTGTGCTGCCTATAATTTGTGTGCATTTCCTTTTTTTAAATTAAAATAGCAAAAATAACCACTGCCAAACCACGCAGTGCCTTTTCCTCTGGGGATTTCAAGGCATTTCCCAATCAGAGGAGCTGTGGCACAGAGCGGTGAAGT